AAAGTGTTTTCTGTGGAACTAATCCCTAATTCACTACGCCGCCTCTGTAGGCTAAGCTATATGTAGCTCCTCTTCTCGGGCACTATGGAGAAGACTACGAAAGAGAACCGTACAGGGTACCCGAGTCGTGCTACAAAGGTAAATAGCTTATTAGGGTGGTAAGTGTGTTTTCCCTGATTACACAAGGGCTACAGGTTTCAAACCATCTGTGGCAGTTCTTAACTGTGTTAGACAGCAAGAAGGGGGAAAACTGTCTGGAAACAGTATTTCCTGTGTGCAAGAAATAATTCCCATTTTTGGGTTTCAGTAGCTTTCTCTGGGAGAGAATAGTGCCCAGGCCTTACTGTTTTTTAAAAAGTACTAGGAATATTAATGTCTTGTACTTAAAATATGAGGATTTTCCAACTTGACTATAATGTAAGATGCTTTAAAAAGAGAGCAAATGTGTATACTCAACTTACTTCAGATACGGCTTTCAAAGGCAAGCACTGTGTTAATGTCACTCTTGGCATGCCCCTGCAGCAGTACTGAGGATCACCCTCCTTGTGGTTTTTTTCTATATAGAACCACAGACACTTTCTCATTATTTTAGATTAAAATAGGTCCTGTTAAGGTTTTGGCATAGCATAAGCAAACATTCTTTTTTAATCAAGGTGTCAATCCTTTTTTAAAGTGAACTGAACCAGAAGATTGAACAGTATCTAGGAGAAGAACAAAGTACAAACTATTGCATAGGTATCATTAGAGGCTCAAAAATGTGAGAAGATAATCCTTAGCATTTGAACTCAATTGTAGGCAAAGTATCCTAGAACAACTAAGAATTTCTTAAATATAAGCCTAAGCTACCTTCCCTTACTGTAAGCAAAAGATTAGAAGTGGATAGTGGAACCTTACTAAACACACTTGCTTTGTTCTGCTGAGTCCCATTGCAGTGCAAGGTATATAAGGATGAAGAACATTAAAGGAAGCAATGACTTTTAAAGCAGTGTATGTTTTTATAGTAAGTATTTGCTGTCTTAATACCTTTGGCTGATGTTCTTCAGATGCGTGTGAAAAAATTCTGCTAGCTATAAAGAAGTATGCTGTTGTAGGAAACTTCTTCTTGTCCATGTAGAAATTTAAGAATGTTTTCATTCATAAAACATAAGAACAGATTACTCTAACATTTCATGCTAATGTGCTTTGTGGTATTTTTCCTGCTCTACTGAATGGGGCCATAAAGGTTACAGTATGCTATTCTACAATTAAGTTATCATTTTTTTTCCTTTGAAGATTGCTAATCCCATTGGGGATGGCCCAAAACGTGTCCCTGTGTCTCAGTATTCTGCCCAGAGCCGGTTACTGAACAGTGGAGTTCCAGCACAACGTGTTCTGTGTCCTTCAAACTTTGCCCAGCGAGTTCCTGTGCAATCACAAAAATCTGCACTGTCAAACCAAAAACTGTCTAATAACCAGACAACACAGCAGCCTCGACCAAAATTTCTGGTCCAAGCGACTGCTAGGCCTCAAGTTCCAAGCAAGAACAATGAAAAACCTCAACAGACTCCAGTACCTGGTAATTCTGAAGATGATATAAGTGTATTTATACAGTTGTGACCCTTGGGATACTGCTGTGAAGCAGAGTTCAGTGCAGAAAATCTAAAGCTGATGTTGATGTGGGACAGTCCTGCAGCAGAAGTATTTGGTTGTGCCCCGAAACAGAGTAGCACCACATACTTCAGCTTAGTTGTTACTGCACTACCCTTGTTGCTAGGATTACCCATTTAGAACCGAAGTGGGTATTTAAAAAATTCCAGATGCTCACTAGTCAGTTGTGTGTTAACGTAATTGGCACTCATACATCATACTTTTTCCAGTATTCATGTTAATCTATTATATACATGAGTACTCTGTTTTTTGGGGGAAGCTTAATTTTTGAAATTCTTTTAAGAAAGCTTTTAAAATTACATTTTGATAGCACAGAGTAACTGCTACGCTGTTTTGCCAACAGTTATACCAAGTTGTTTAAAATGTCATTGAATATATCCTAAGAACTGTTTCAGATACTGCACAGAGGTTAGATTTGCTTCCATGGGAATGTTTGTGTTTGTGGGTCTGGTTCATAAAGTTGATCTACTTCTCTGTATGTAGCAAAAAATTCTGAAGCAGAAAGCACCTCTAAACAGAAAAATGAAGAGACTGGTAAAAAGAAAAATGAAGAGACTAAAAAGTAAGTCTTATGCCTAAATTGTTCCAGCTAACTGCCTCCTGTTAGTTTACATTAGGCTTGTTCTTAACTTCTAGGACTTCATGCTGCAGCTAAGCTGAACTTGAGCCCCTTGGTTGTGGAGACCAGCGGCCCTACACTTCACAGAGACAAAATGTAAAACTAGGAAAGTTTACTGTGACCTGATCATTCTTGGGAACAAGGACTTCCTGTAATCTAAAGTTTTGGCCAAATGAGTAATAGATCTGCACATGAGAGAACACTGATAGACACTGATGTAATCACAATATCTACACTTGAAAACAAAGCTGCCTCCATATGTGCAAAGGAGTGCAGTCTAAGGATGAAGTTAAGATTTGTAGTGTGGCTACCTTTAACAGTCCTGACATGCACTAGTAATACGTCTGTATTAAGTGCACTGAAACAAGCCTTGCTTGGTATACAGAGACTTTATTTTTGTAGTATGGTTATGTTACTATCTCTGCATTAACTTTAGGAAGGAAGAGTAACTTTCGAAACTTTCTTTTGACAAGTCTCAATGCCTATTTTATTCTCTTGGTACTCTCTTAAAGGCTAAAATCTATTTCAGATCACTAAGTATCTATTCAACGGGAACATTATATATTGTAAACGTAGCAGTCAAAGCCTGCACAAGTAACTAGCTCGTGTCTTTTTTTTCTCTTGCAGAAGGCAATGGTCTCTTGATGATTTTGAAATTGGTCGTCCTCTGGGGAAAGGAAAATTTGGGAATGTGTACCTGGCACGTGAAAAGCAGAGCAAATTTATTCTTGCACTGAAAGTACTCTTTAAAACACAACTTGAGGAAGCTGGTGTAGAACATCAACTACGAAGAGAAGTTGAAATACAGTCTCATCTTAGGTAAAATTTAGTAACCAGTTGTACTCTTTGCTTTGTGTTCAGATAAACAAAGTAACCTTTTATGATAACACTTGGAAAAAAAACCAACTTTATTTTTAAACACATGATGCCTTGAAATTGCTAGTTAGAATTCCTGCCATTCTGCATCGAGATTTACCTTTGTCTGTCTTGTGGTGATGTAATCTCTGGTAACAAATCTTTCTATTACCAAAAAAGCCAACAACAACAAACAAAAAACAACCCTTGTCTGCTGCTTGGATTTCTGTGGGTAACTGGTTTCTCAAGAGTCTGAACTTGTTTCTGGTATTCTGCTTCCTGGAAAATAAGCCCAACTTGCTGAAGAAATTGTTTCACAGAAAGCATTTAAAGTGTTTATGCTTAAATTCTAAAACCTGTGGCAACTGGCACCTCAAGTGATAATCTAGTCTTCTAGCTGTGAAGAAAGGTATGTTCAAGAAGATATGAATTAGCCCAACTTTTGGCAAGCAGCTTGCTAGCAGGGAGTCTAAGCTGCATCTCTGGTAAATGCCATGAAGCTCTCTTAATGGATATGTTGTCAGCTGAGGTAATACTTTCAGGATGTTGAAGCTCCTATGCTTGCTTTGAAAGGGGGGAGGCAGGAAAGGGAAATTGAAGTTGTATGGACAAATACCTTGTTTAGAAGAGCATTTAAATCTTTTTGCAGGCACCCCAACATTCTCAGATTATATGGCTACTTCCATGATGTTACAAGAGTCTACCTTATTCTAGAGTATGCACCTCGTGGAGAAGTCTACAAAGAACTTAAGAAGCTCACCAAATTTGATGAGCAAAGAACTGCTACTGTAGGTTGCTCTAGCCTTTTGTAGATTACTTGCTTTTCATATCTGGAATATATCTGCATATCTGCAGTATAAAGCCAGCTCTTCAGCTGTATTCTGTTTGAAACATTTTTTTAATGCTAGTTTGCTTGTGCACTTGTTACAAGTAGTAAGATAAATTACTGCACAGCACTGATGTTTAACATTGCTTAATACTGCAAGTGCTTGGTCACTTCAGGGAGAGCCTGGATTGCTGACTTCAAAGGTTTGAGGAATAATTGCTTCAACTCAAACTACTGATTCTATCTAGAAAATCTTATATTGTAGTCAGATAAGATAGAGCGACAGTATCTTTAAAGATCTGTTCTCTTTTTACATACAGTACATCACAGAACTAGCAGATGCCCTATCATACTGTCATTCAAAGAGTGTGATTCACCGAGACATCAAGCCAGAAAACCTGCTGCTTGGCTCAAATGGAGAATTAAAAATTGCTGACTTTGGATGGTCTGTCCATGCTCCATCTTCTAGGTGAGAATGCAATATATGTCTTATGCAGTGAAATACTTATGTAGGGGAAATGTTAGCTTTATTGTCATACTTGGAGTTGTAGAATGGAAATAAATGTGAACTTCCTAAAATACTGGGAAAAAGTTCTTTAAGAATTGGCCACTGTAGCAAAGGTCTTCATAGTCAACTGGTGTAGCAGAGAGGGAACATTATTATCTTGTTTTTTCAACTTGTGTTGCTCAAAACTTGCTGAACTTGAAACAAGTGAAGAAGGCTGGTGTACTGTTGTAGGGCAATAGTGGTCCCTGAGATGACATACCAGCACTTGTGTTCAAACATCACACTAGCAATACACTTAAGACATTTCCTTTGTTAGTCTACATTGCGCCTGGTAAAGAGACCGTATTTGATCCAGTAAGTGGGATGAAAAAAGGAAGGATAAGACTGAATGCAGTGACTGGGATACTTCAAAGCAAAAGTAGCAAACTTACCGCTGGAACTTCTTTACCAGGCATTCTGGTGGTGCTGAGTCTTCTCTCCAGCACTACCTTCTGTCTGTCTCTTACTGATTATGGCAATTATAAGATCCATTTCAAATTATTAACTTAAGACTTTTCTTCAGGAGAACAACTCTCTGTGGGACACTTGACTACCTGCCTCCTGAAATGATTGAAGGAAGAACACATGATGAAAAGGTGGATATTTGGAGCCTGGGAGTTCTGTGTTATGAATTCCAAAAAACCTTTCGAAGCAGAAACATACCAGGAAACGTACAGAGCTATTTCCAGGGTATGTACCAACATGTATTTGTACTAGCTGAACTGTGCTACCTTTGAGTTCTGTTCTCCTATTGAAGCTTAACAAATGGTTGTCATATAGAAGAGCATGTATTGTAACTAGAACTGTAGCAAGACAATCACAGAATCGCTTGGTTGGAAAAGACCTCTGAGATCATCGTGTCCAACCGTTCCTGTCTACCCACTAAACCATATCCTTAAGTACCTCGTCTCCCCGCTCTTTAATACATCCAGAGATGGTGACTCTCCCCCCCCCCTGGGCAGCCTGTTCCAGCCTCTGACGACCCTCTCAGTAAAGAACTTCATCCTTATCTCTAACCTGAATCTCCCTTGGCACAGCTTGGTGCTGTTTCCCCTTGTTCTATCCTCCATCACCTGGGAGAAGAGACCAGCACCCACCTCTCTACAACCTCCCTTGAGGTAGTTGTAGGTGGTGATGAGGTCTCCCCTCAGCCTTCTCTTCTCCAGGCTAAACAACCCCAGTTCCCTCAGCCGCTCCTCGTAAGGCTTGTTCTCCAGACTCCTCACAATGATATGCATAAAACTAGATTCCTAAAACTGGTCAGTCATCCAGTAGAATAACTATAAAAGACATTAAGAATACCTTGCCTTGGTTTTACTTTGTTTCTGCCTGCATATGAACTCCTACCTATCTCATAAAGCAACTAATCTTTTCCACATCTTCCCTCTTCTAATTTATAACGTGATTATTTAGCATTCAAGGTGTTACTACAAATACCTAAGTTTAACTTTTCCTGCTGCATGCCCTACAAAGGTTCCAGCAAACCAATCCTGTTTGAAGTATGTTGAAAAATACAGTAGCTGAACTTGTACAAGCAGTGAGAATCTTGTTTTCTTCAGGACTATGGTGAAATTACTTAATCTAACCTTGATAGGCATAAGGTGCATAGTCCACAAGGCTGATCACAGCTTTTCTTTCTAGATGTACCTTGGAGAGTGGAGCTCTCTGTCTAGTTTGGTTATTGCCTAAGAATTTTTGCATCATCTTTAGTGTTCTTCCTTTTCCTTAGGTGGAATTCAGGTTTCCTCCATTTGTAACAGAAGGTGCTAGGGATTTAATTTCAAAGCTTCTGAAGCATAACCCATTGTATCGACTGCCCCTGAAGGATGTACTACTTCATCCCTGGATTACAGCAAACTCTACAAAGTCACCCAACAGCAGAAAGAGTGATGTTGCTGCCTCATCAAAAACGCAGTCTTAGCAGGGGTAACCTCATGGGATCAACAAGAGGAGTCTTCAACTGTGACTACTGTAATGCTTACGATAGGAAAAGCAGGTCTTGGAATCCAATGGCAATCAGAGTGCAAATCATTGGGTTGGCTGTCATCTTAAACTCTAATTGCAATGTAAAACTATTTTACTTTTAGTTGGAGGTTGTGGAATAGCTAATATACTTGAAATCCAGTTTCATGTGGGCCAGGCTTGTTGATGTAAGTATTAAGCTGTTCAAGGCTCTTATGATGTGGTCTGGCCTAGTAATGGTTCATTGTTCCAACAACAAGAAGTTTGTGTTTCTAGCTTATTGAACAGTGCAATATTCCAGAGATACCTGTCTCCTAACGTATTGGGCTGCTAAAGGTATCAGAACTGTGGTGTAATCTGAAACTGAGATGAATGCATTGCTCTAAGTGTCCCAAAAATGATGTGTGCATTATCTTTGTCTCTATTTTGTCTTATGTGAGCACTCAACTCTTTAAATAAAGACTTGTTATATACTGCCACCAGCATGGTCATGTTCCTTATGGCATTTATCACTTCCACTGGCTGTTTCTAACCACTTGTCTTTACCATCAGCACAACTGGACTCCTCATCCAGGATCACAAAATAAGTTTACTTCCCACCTCTGTCAAAAAAAGAAGCTGGTATAAAATTCCTGCTCAAAGTGCTGGTACCATGATGTAATTGTAAAATAGCAAGTGACCACATCTACAACACAGGATTATAAGATCAGTTGCTATTTACCTTCTGGGTTTTCTACAACCATTGAAACCTAGGCCTCCTTCTTACTTTTTTTTTTAAAATGCAGTTATTTAAGGACAACAGGGTCTGAAAGCATTTCTAAGAGAAAGGTGTGGAATGCATTGTTTTCAAAGGGGATATGAATCAGGAACAAATATTGGCATTGGTGGTGTAAGATGTTATTTCCTAAAATGTAGCAGGGGTCGGGCCACTCACCAAGAAAACAAAAGCTATTTTTCCAGTAAAGCACTTCAAGCAAACTAAGAGAAAACAATTTATTGTATTGTCATGGTAAGACTTGAAGGTCATAACTATTTTACAAATGGTTTTAAAAAACAATCCTTTTACAAGCAAGGATTCTAGAATTCAAAATATATTCTCAAATTAATTTAAAATATACTTTGCAAAAAACTTCACCTAAACAAATTGCCAGTAGTTTATACAACCATGTTTATCTTAATAATCTGAATTCTGGTCATAATTTAAATGAAGCTGTTTCTTTACTGCAAGAACATATCTAGTTAGTGCTGGTGACTTAGTAACTTTCAGGTGCATTTGCTTTAAATTATTCCTGCCTTACAGAAACCTTTTTGAAAAAGGAAAACCTTGAATATTCTTTTTATATCAACTTTAAGACAAAACATGCTTATCAGAAATGACTGATTATTCTGCCTTGTGATTATTCTGGAATTCTTTTGTTTATCCGTGGTAACAGAACTTTGCCCTAAACTTGATAGAGAGGGCAGAAAAACTGCAGACAGGCTTTTCTGTGGGGAAAAAAATACATGCTAATAAAAGTTACTCTTAAGAAACACTAACTGCCCACTTGAAATTTAAAAGACTCACTCCAGCTGTTGCAGAGTGCAGGATGTCATAGAAAGCTACAGTGGTGTTGGTTTTGTGTTGTCACAGTATGGTAACCCTTCAACTGCTGCAGAGATAGTGTTGAGTGTTTGATAGGTAAAAACTGCACTAAGCCTCTCATCCACATAACAGGTATAATAATCACACAGATTAGTCAAGGGGAAAGGCAGAGCTTCCTTGAGGGACAAGCTGATTTGAAACTCATGCTCCAATTGGAGCTGGCTCAGAGACCAGCAAGCTGTCCAAGTACCATGGACAAGATGCCAGCTTCAGCAGAGATACTGCAAAGCAAGCATGAAATGGAAAGCCCAGTCCATTTCTTTTTGAATAAGCAGCTAGTCAAAATGAACTTGACAGCCATTCCTCCTGCACACATGGGTACATGAAGCAGCGGAGCACTGACTCCTCATTTAACAAGCGAAGCCAAGCAGCTGTGCATGACTTAAGCTCTGTTAGTCACAGAGCTCCCAGCTCCCATGGAAGCAGGCCATGCCAGCCACAAGGCTGATTCTCAGTATCTCCTGCTCCTAAGGCTGGTATTTTGAGCAGCGTTTATGTAAAGCATCTTTACATATATGCCATGTATGGCTATGTCTGTATACATCAAGCCTCTAGGATATGTACCCACTCACTGCTGCAACTGTTTTCATCTTAAGGCACAGCCCCACTAAGATGGAGCCCTTGCCAAGGAGTTGTTTTCAGGTGGCTCTCTACTCTCTACTACCAGCTTGCTTTTGCAGGGTAGAGGAAGTAAACTACATTTCTTCCAGTTTTCCCCAGCTTGGAGAAAACCTCTGATTAACCAAGGAGTGGTAATAACAACAAGGATACATCTGGCTGATATCTTCCTAGAACACAAACTCTGCTTGCTCATTGGTGAGCCTGAGGCTCCTCAGAGCATCCAGCCAGCCTATGGCTTGGACCTTCTGAATGAGAAAGGAGTTAGGGTGCAATTTAATGTTCTGGCTGAGTGGAGCTGAAATTATTCCCTCAGCCAATTCTCATCCTGACCGCTTGATTCCTTCTTCTCAATTCACTAAAGTTCAGAAATCTAATCACCAGGGTAATTTCCTGCTATTTTACTTTAAGCAGATTCCTGTACGAACAGATCTGTGTCAGAGCCACCTTGGGTTAAGTGTAAGCACAAAGATAGAGAAAGACAATGTAAAAAGAGCAGCCCTGGAAGGAGGAACAGGTCCAAATGACTGATAGATCTGGCTCGAGCTATCTCACAAAAGCACAGTCCTAAGTCTGAAACCTAGGTTTACCACAATGTTACACTGACTCCCTAGTTTTGGGATCCAATCTTTAGGTTAACTGAACGGTGGTATGTGAATTTATGCATGTGAATCTACACTGTAATAGGAATAGTGTCCAAATAAGGAAATGAAAAGCGCCTCTAACTGGCACATTCAACAGTCAGACAAAAAAAACCAGTCTCTTTTCAGAAGCTATGAATTGTAATGTCTGGACTTCAGGTGCAGATCTGAGTTTCATCCACAGGAGCAGAAAGCTGCTAGGGTTAGCTTTCAGATAAAAATGTGTCTCCAGTGCAAAGCCACATCTCAAAACATTAAAAATCCACAGATACCTTGCCTCTGACTTGATGATCTTTGGAATGTGTTCACATAGGAGGTAATTCTGGTTACACTGATTTCTGCAGACTCAGGATTCCTTCTGAGTCCACAGGCATAAAAAAAAAAATAAGAAAAAGGACTTTAGTAAGGCCAGTTCCTAGCTTATAAAGAAAGCACTTTTTCAAACAATAAAATCTTGAAACATGGAAGCACCACAAAGGAGCTGTAGTTTTAGAACAGTGCATCACCTATTCTGGCTAAAACATTTAACACTGTGCAATGATTAATCATACAGGTACTCCCACTTACGTTAGTTCAGCATGCGTGTTGTATTGCAAGACTGTGATCATTATATATGCCTTTTGTAACAAAAGAAACAGCCACCTACCACCTTAGATTCCAATATATACACTTACCAAAAGAACTATTCATATAGTAGGATATTGGTTATTCCACAGACTATTAGGAAGAGAATCTTACTCTGTTTCCTAACTGCACAGTAATAAACTAATGCTGCCACAATTTTGACAAGAAAAAAATTAAGGCCCAAAAAGCTATGTTATAAAAGACCCAGAAGTGTGTGTTCTAAAGAGACTGCTCATAGTCAAGCATTTATATTACCACTTGCAGTGGAAGACAGATACTATTTTATCAGATTTTTCTAAAGAGGTGGCAAGAGGGAAAGGAGATAAGGACAGCACTTTTCACAGTGTAACATTTACCTGAAAGAACAAGAAAGAAATGCAAACGGAAGTGAGCATTAACATGAATCCAAATAAGTCTTCTAAAGAAATTTAGCACTCTGAAAAGTTACATGGATATAGAGCACTTAAACAACAGTCAAAACCTGTAAGAAATCATCATGGATTTGGCGCAGGAGGTTTGAAGAAACCAATCTTCCGGCAGTATCGGACAATCAATGGCACAGAAATGACAGTAATGCTGATTCGTACTGGAGCAAACAGCTTGTGAACAGCGTATGCCAACACAAACGTGCTTGTACCAGCAGCCATTTTAGACTGCAACGATGATTCACTGAAACCGAGCTTGAAGAGAACTGCAGTCATATCCACACCACTGGGGAAAAAGAAAACAAGATTTTTTTAGTTGTAGTTTACTTTCAAGTTGCATGCTAAAGAATAGAAATGAAAGGTGCTATTTTATTCAGGGAATTTAACATGGCATTCTTCCAACTCTGGAATTTGTGTTTAAATCTAGATGTTGTTAAATACATAATTTACTATATAATAATAAAATAAATTTATTTATTTATTTCAGCAGTAACAGCTCAAGTTACTTCTGTAGCAGCAACACATGCAATATTTTCAGATGCGTATTTTTTTTCCTAAATTGGCAAGTTCACCGTGAAGTCAAATACGTTCTTAGTTTTATAACTGTACAGCTGCAGCATGTGCATGGAGAATACTCCTGCAGCCTCATGCTCAACCTTCTGATAAAATAATATCTATTTCTCTACTTCTGAATTTTTTAAAAAGTTAGAAATTTGTGTTGGAGATCAATCTTCCCCAAATTTACAATACAGTCTATTCCGTGTCTTGATGAAATTTATCACATAAATATAGATCTACCCAAACTAAATAAGGTTGAGCCTGTTCTTGGGCTTAGACTGTTCTTACAGAGGAATACAAAGTTGTTAAAATGATAAGTAACTTATCTAAAATCTAGCAAGTGAAGGAAGTATTACTGATCTCAAATAAGCATTAGCCACCAGATTAATTAATATTTTAGTTCTCTATAGACATAGCAACTTTCATCAAGGTTCCTATGTTTGGAGTAATTACCCAGAAGAAGTTGTAACTGTAACTTTTCCCCCTTTACTCACCAGTACAATATCTTGTAACTAGGAGTTAAATCACATCCGAAGGAAAAAAAAATTGTCACCCTATGTCACAAAAATCGGGCATTCCCATAATTCCCCTGAAGTCAAGAGTAAGCTGCAGGGAATGTTTTGAGAAACAATGCGTTTCCCCGTTTCCTCAGTTGAAATACCTCAGGCTCAACAGACATCTCCACAGCTGATGCATTCCCACCAGAAGCTACATCCACAATTTCCCACCTGACTCCTACACAGTTATCTAGTATTTTCTTTTTTAATCTAATCTTGTTTTAGTAGCTGTTGCTTTCTGCAGTTTCAATTGCAGAAACTGAGTTCAACACCCAGAAAAATAAATTTATCTCTAAGCTCCAGCACTTTTGGATGGCTCTATCTGTACAGACCATACTACTGTTTGAGAACAAAAGATATCTCTGCAGAACAAGAATAAATTCTCTCATCTGGCTAGTTATTTTGTTGCAGTCTCTGCTTTTTTCATCTGCCCACCATGTACCGTGAACCTATGCAGAAAGACCATATACATCCATCTTCTCTCATGCCTGATGGGAGATTAAATCCATCTATGGATCCATCCATGCTCAAAAATTCAGAAGATTGCTCTGTGTATCGAACAGGCATCTAGTACATGTCTCCTTCCAGAAATAAGCACAATGGTAAGATATTTTTCTTGGCTAAACCATTACCTAGAGGCTACAGACAACAGTACAAACATCACCTTGACACGGCCAGGTAGAAGATTCCTAGAGATACTAATGAAATTCCAACGTGGAATGAAACCCCTACAGCACCATATTCTTTAAAAACTTGTTTCAGTTGCTGGGACTTGTTGAGTTTCTTGTTTTCATCACTGGGGTCCATGGCTGCCTTTTCGGGGGATACAGCTGCATCCTGAAGAGAAAACAATTTAAAGTATTTATTAGCATTAAGCACAATATTATATTCTAGTCAGTTGAACCAATCTGAAATAACGAATAAAGTGGCTTACAGTGCTGTTCAGAAGGCTTTGGGAAAGACAGTAACACACTTTTGCTCTTTCACATCAGGATAGCAGATGCCTGTGGCAGAGCCCATGCAAATGCCCTTTTCCCAACTATTCATACCAAAGGGATGCACTGAGCTGGGTGCAAGTTCTTACACAAGGCAAGTTTCATAATTGAAAAGAGTTACTATAGTCCCGGACTTCCACTGGATCCAAATGTGTGCCAAGGCACACCTACACAGTTGCTTGAGAGATTACTGAGGTGCCAAAAAGATCTTTGCCTACACCCACTGCTCAGCTTTGTACAGTGAATTCTTGTTACACAGCTTTTTGTTCAAGGGCTATGCAGCTGATGGCATTGGGAACCTACACAGTACCAGACTGATGCTGGCTTAGTAACAACTTACTGATAGAAGAGATCCAACATTTAAGGTCCTACATATCACCCTCTATAGATCAGCTGAAAAAAGGAAGGATCAGGGAACTGCTACTGTAAAGCAACAAGAAATACTGCTCTTGCCATGCAGACAACAGCTACATGGACATGCCAGTGTCAGTGTAAATTTCCTAACTTCACTGCAAATGTTTGCTTTTTATCTGGGTAAATTTAAAGCTCAGAACTTCATGCTGAAATATACCCCAAAGCAATCTGATAGTGCAATGCAGGCAAAGAAGGGAACATACACCACTAGTATTAAGACAGCCCTTGGACACCTTCTCATACTTGCCATAGAAGAAATAATAACAGGAGAAAGAAAACATTTACACAAAGACCTCAGGGTTTTTTTCTAATTAGTGAGCAGTTGTCAGGAAAGATTAGAAGAGTAATTTCTTTTCAGCTGAATTCAGCAGCAGTTGTGACAATGAGAGCCACGCTAAAGGCCACTGCAGCCCACAGGACAGGTACAGCTACTGAGTGCCTGGCACCACTCTCTCCTACTGTGGATTGGTTTCAAGGCATACAAATTAGAAGAAAAATATTTTTGATTAATCCCTGGACTTGGTGAGATTTTAAGTTAGGATACAAGGCAGGCTCCTCTTAGGATATTCATGGTAGGATGAACTCACTTTAATCAGTGATTTTAATCTTGCCCCCGCCCCCAAATTAAAAAAACCCCACAACCTGTTTGCTGCTGCTTTTCTCTTTTAAATCGTGACTTGTGTTACTTTGTATTTCATTTTGACATGAAATCATGCTCATCCATAAATATGTATTTAGGGAATTGTGTAGCTCAACGTATTCTGATTCTCGTATTTTTAAAGTTTTCAAACATAATGGCTGATGTTAGGTTGTTGGGTTTTGTTTTTTGGCTCGTGAGCCAAAGCAATGTTTAAACAGAAACTGAAACTGCACCAAGAAAGAAAAATGTCAAGTTGAAAAAACCCCCACCAACTTTTATTGCTTAAGCCAAGCAGTTGCAATACTAAAGGATAAATGAGGAAAAATGTTCAAATACATATTTTTAAAATTATTTTAGTCAAAAGAATGGACTCATAGTTAGATAATCTAATTACTTTCAGCCACTGGAAGTAATTAGATTTCCTGCATGACTGTACTACGTGTCTGCTGCTTCACCGTGTTTCAGAACTCATTCTCTTACTCTTCAGTGTTATTATAGGGAAGTAGGGTGGGGGGAAAGGAGGGAAGAATGCTGTTTCAACTCCCAGTCTGGAAAATTTAAATACAGAGTTAGCGAATGGAACTAGTTGAATAAACTGAACGAAATACCTTCTGCTAAAAGCTGTCCTAATAATCCAATCAACATCACATGCTTAGTCAAGAATAGCAAATTATTCAAAAGTGTGATTTTCATAAAAGGCAATATGGTTTCAATGATATCTTAAGATTTAATAGCTTGTAGTGAATTTTCACACAAAGATGATAATTGCCTGTTTAAGGAGCCAAACATGAAGATTTTCTTCTGATAGCTGCCCTGAAAACAGACACTGGCAATTTACAGAGATGCATAAGCCTCAGAAGAACTCTGGGTCTTACAGCCACGCTTGCAATATCAAAGGACTGAAAAATAACTCGTTCTCATAGTTCAAGCACATTTCTATTTACTCAGACTCACAAGACAGGCAATTTCTGAATGGTATTGAAGCAAGATATTAAAAAAGTACCACTTCAGCAGACATTATTTGGACTACCCAGTATGGTCACGTCCTAAATAATGTACAACTTGGCGAGGAAAGGTACCTATTTTCTGTGTAATTCTGCTGTTGTATTTCTGCTAGAAAGCCAATTTTATTCCTATCGTTTAGACAAAAAATTCAGCTTCAGGACGAACTAAGGCATACAAACAAATCTGAAACATGTTAGGCTTTGTAATCAGGCTCCAGAAATTAACCTGAAAATTGATCTGTAGAAATTAAGCTGTAAGTGAGGCTTCGTATGGAAAGCTCGCATTCACAATCTTGGCACAAGCAGGTGTAAAGCAGGTCCCTGTCTCCTACAGAAAGCCAACATAAACATGATTTAGTAATCTACTGCAGCGTAAACACCAGTGATGTGTAAGGCCTTCATTTGCTTTTCTCTGTGAGTCAATTCAAATTAATGGTACAAAATCATACAAATCCATCCAAAATTTTCCTTCCCACCTCCAAAACCCGAACCGAACGTTGAAAGCACGGTGAAACATAATTAACCGGGCGCACGTTCGCACTGCCAGGGGCTGAAACCCACTGTCCCCCACCAAGCCATCTCCCTCCGGAGGCGGGCCCTGAGGCCGCGCTGCCCCTCACACAGCGCAGTACCCCACGGCGGGGACTCCCAGACACCCCCCTCCCCGCCCACCTACTTTAGCGGAGGTGCCGGCTGCGGATCGCAGCGTCACGACGGGCGGCGAGGGACTGACACCAACCCGGCCGAGGCGGGGACCGCAACCCAAGGGGCCCAAGACAGCGGCAAAAGGCGGGGGGCTGCGCGGCACCGCCGGCGGCCGCAACGGGCCCAGGCGCACCAGGCGGTACATAGCAACGGCGCGGCCACAGCGCAGCCCCGACTCTGCGCGCCGAGCGGGGCGGGAGACCAGACCTGACAAGACGAACACCCACCCCGCCCTACGGCGGCCGCCCTAACAGGGCGGGCTGGCGCTTATTTGAGGGAGGGCGCTCAAATCGTGTCGCGCTGAGTGGAGTGCGGGTACTGTGCACTTTCGGTGTGAGGGGAAAAAGTCTCTAAGAGCGGTGTGTTGCCGTTTGGGATATTGTGAAGCAGTCCCCTGGCTTGTCCTGGCTGGCTGAAGCCCCGCCAGCGCCCTTCTGGAGGAAGCTGTGGGGGGGTGGTCGCAGTGGCCTGCCAGGGAGCTGGTTAGGCGGGATAGTTCTCTGTTCAGTCTCCTCGGCGGTTCAGGCCTGTGAGCGGGGAGGGGAGGCAGTGCCTGCTGTTTTTCAGAGCGCTCCCGAAGTCATTAGAGTGGTGGTTGAAGTGCTGCTGCAGTTCTGGTGCTCACAGTGCAGGCAGTTTATTTTATTACTGACTTTATCTCGAACAGCTCTAGTAATTTGCCATGACTTCGTGGTACAAAACAGTACAGGGTAGAGCTTTTTCAGTCCCAAGGGATTCATAGTGTCTCTTCCAACAAACACTGCAATGGTATTGCATTTATAGCCTCTTCATTAAAACAGCAACGGGAAAAGTAGGATTTAAAAATACCACTGAAGTATAACATCACCGTGGGAGATTCCCAGTGCCCTGGGAAGCTCTATCTCAAACCGTAGGGCTTTGGTTGATGGGAAAGATCTGCCCACACTGGGTAATTATCAGGATCAGCGTGTAACTGGTGATTTCCAAATCTTTTGTGGTGTTTCAGCCATTCAATGTTAATGCTGCCGAACACAGTTTAATATCTGCAAGTTGACCACTACCCTGCACAATGCCAAGGCTTCTCATAACTGCAGTTGTTGCAGCTTTCTGAAATGGTGGCTCCTTGCCATCGCAGACAAGGCCGTTCACTGCAAGGGGAGGGTAAATATTGCATAACTCAGTGTACTGAAACAATGCATCTGAATGCTGAGCTCCGGAAATAAAATACTTGTCTTTTCCTAGTTGCTAAGCCTTTCCTCTTCAGGCACGTTGTTGTCTTTAGAGTGATGTAAGCTCACAGGGCTGAGTACAATAGGAGAACTGTATCAGATAAAGATGAGGTTTTCCCTCCAGAAGAGCTTGCAGTTTAGGAGCACAAGCTGGAATCGCTCGGGATAGTACTGAATGGTACAATGCTGAAACGGCCTGGTGGGTGGCTCTTGTGAAGTGCAATGCACCACAGAACAGATGGGTTTCAAGGAGTCTCTTGGAGGAAGAGAGGGAGCGAGCTTTGTGTGTGTTAAAATAGAGTCTGTTCTGGGCATAACAAACAGAACAGCACTGCCTGTTCTAGGGTTCTACATTTCCTTCTTGCTTCATAAATCTAGTCTTTCTCTGAATGCTTGGTAGAAGAATAATTTCTCAGAACACAATTTCATGTATTTATTATGTTCACATATTTATTATGTTTATTACTATTCTGAAGCAATTTGCTAATGCATTTTCTGTGACTATACACCACCTGAGTAGACAGCTGATACTAACATGGCAGTGCTCTAACTGTAGCACACTACAATTTTGTAATTTTTTCCTGAATTATAAAAAATCCCAGGAGTAAATTCTGGTCTCACTCTGTAAAGGAGATGTCAAATCAAGTCCCACTGGTGTGGGGCAGCCCTGGGCTCTGCACATGCATGCTGGACGCTTCCCTGTGCTTGTCTGGCAGACCCATTAGAGCCATTGCATGGTAGAGAACACAGCTGCTCTCCTGTGGGATATGTGTTATGCTGCTGCAAGATGTCTGGAAATCCTGGGCAAGTGCAGACAAGAGCAGGAGGTTGGTTAATGAGGCATAAAAGCATTGGAGTTGGCCGTTTTACATGTATGGTCTGGCTGTCTGCTGTCTCCAGAATCTCAGTGGGAGATAGTGCTTAGAAGCAGAAAGGAACAATACCCTCAACATCAAATGATATATGGTCATTGAAAAACAAGCAAACAACTTGGCTTAAGATACCTTAGCGTGAAGATAGTTTACAAGTGCAGAGAAAAAGAGACGTTACCTTCGTCCTGCTCACTGTAACTAAGACAGAGGGGAGAAAGTACAACTTCCAAAGACACCTCAAGAAGATGCTTCCACAGAGACACATGTATGTGTTATCCTGGATGCGCAGGTCTGTAATATGTACAGCAACAATTACTCCTTGCGTGTTACTCTATTTACCCCTCTTTGTCTGCATTAGAAGGATTTGAGGCCCATCTTCTTTTTGCAAGTTCCACCAAGTTGTTACTTACTGCCTGAAATCTTCAGGCATTGCCAGGACACCAAGAATCTTACTATAAACCTGGAAGTACAAATAATCCTCATGGTGTAGCTGAAAGGCAACTTGACAAGTAAGGATTTAAGGAAAGGACTGGTGAGCCTGCGAATTCACTTGCCATTCATGTGGCCCTTGGGAGAACAAGACTTTAGGCCTAACAAAGAACTGCCTTGAACTTGTATTTACCAGCTGTTAACGTGCTGGATCCCATGGGAGGATGTGACATTGTGTCCACCAGAGTGGGCCAACAGCAGCTGAATGTGAAGGAGAGATTCCCTTTCTGGTTAGTGAATTTCTCTATTACATTCACACAGTGCATTTATCTGTCATCTCAGTAGAGCTGATTGTTATTGTTAGTGAGCAGCACTGACGAGCAATTTTCATTTTCCTAAAATTAATTCAAACTGTCCTATTGTTCTTTGATTGTTACAGGATCAGTCTTTATAATATGTCAGTTTTTCAAGCAATACCTTAATAATTTTTCATATGTAAATTTGTCTTTCTTTGTCGTTCATTTTGTCACAAGCACTCATGTATCAGGATGTTTTTGTATCTGCACTAAATATAAGATAAACTGAAAATAGATGCTACAAAATGCTAAAATACTTACAGATCTCAAAAGTGTGTTCAGCAGTCCTGAAAGAAGAGCACAGTGTGTCCAGTTGTGAACCCCAAATCAAGATGGTCCAGGGATCTATTACTGAAGAAGAGACTGAGATTGATGATGCATTTGATCTACTGCATTTGTGCCCTGTCTGAACCACTGCTTCATTTCTCAGGCTGTTGCTATGTAGATTTACTGTTATCTTCCTTTTGTCATATTCCAACAGCCAGATAGTGCTGCTCTGTTTTGTATTATTCATGTTATTGCTGCATTGCTACTTTTTATCATCAGTAAGAGTAAAGCTGGGAATTAAGGGGACTGAGCAGACTGTCTCTGTTGAGCAGTGAAGGTCCCTCTCTTGCTCATGGAGGAAGCAAAGCTCTTTCAGGATCTTTAGCTGGTACAACAAGCCAGCAGCATTAATTTTACCCTCCACAAGAGTCCTCTCTGGCAATCTGCTGATGAGACCTTTTTTCATTTGGACGGTGTGATGTACAGCCATTCGGATGTATGAGTGAAAATCGCATCCGGTGTCTCCTGCTAGGTGTGGGATTGATAGCCCCAGCAAAGCAAGAAGGTTCTTTTTCCACAGAACAGATAAATGAAGGGGCTGACAGCAGAAGCACTAATGTTTCACCTTAACATGGATGGTAACTCAGGCTCCATCTCGAAACAGCTCTTGGCCTTTTGGCCCTGTCTCTGCGTAATGATGCTGCCACTGAAGACACACACACCTTACTCCGTAGAAGTCACCGGCTGCTCTCACCTTTCAGTAACTGTTAACCTGGGTTACCCTTGAAGCAGCAATTACTGCTGTGCCCACTGCTAGTCCCTGCAGACATGGTGTCATGTACCCACTCGCTGTTTGGAAGACAGACTTTAACATTTCACTCAGGTCACCTTTTCTGGTATCCAGCAAAGTTTCTATTTGTCATGTCTGTGAAGAAGTTACCATCTTCCACCCTCAGACTGATATTTATTTTGCAGTGAAGTGCAAACAATTCATTCAGGTACCTGGTGTTTGGCATTTGGATAAGATTTCAGCTGGCTATTTAATTTATCCTCAGTGTAACCCACTCTGAGGAGAGGTGTCTCATTTAGACCTGTACCTCTGGAAAGAGCTATCCAGCTTTTAAAACAAATGAAGTCAGCTAGCCCAGCAAAAGTGCAGTGTGTTGTGCAGATGAATATAACAGAAAAGGATGCAAAATGATGCTGTTTAGTGATTTTTTAAAGTGTCTGCTGTATTAAAATGGGTAAAATGGTATTTTGTGAAGTGAAAAAGTACAAGGCCAACTTTGGAAGTTGAATGTTTAAACTGCTTTGCCTCCTCAAACTGTTTTACATCTCTTCTGATTCCCATGGTCATTCAAATCTGCACAAACTCCTTTAGATTTATTTTTCATTTTGTCTCAGTACTGTACTGATCATAATTTAGCTTCATGAGAACTTAGGAAAAAATAGGCGAGAGTCGTGTTTTGTGTTTGGTTTTATAAATGTTCAGCAATTTCAAATTGTTTTCACAAATAAAAAAGCCAGTTGTCCTTTTCCCCTTCAGGCTTAAAAGCTATGTAAGTAGTTGATAACATCCTGTTGTAACAACCCATGACTCAGATTCTCAAGTGCAGCTTTTCCTGCCCTTTGCTCCTTACCAATATTGCTATAAAGCCAATTGTCAGCCTATTTAGATGAAGAAGGAACAGTCAAGGCCAGATTCCCTCTTTTCTACCTCTCACTGCATAATGCCATAATGAGATTCTGACCAAACAACTCAGCGCAATGCAATATTCAATCTGCAGTGTACTGGGAAAAGGCTGATGTGAATTACTAAAGACAGTCATTAGCCCCTGTTTATATGAGGTTACTGGAAATTGTTCCCTCGTCTTTCAGCTGGTTATGCTGCTGCACTGGGACACATCATTTCGAAGTGACTGATGCACCTGATCTGTACTCTAATACATGCAAGTGAGTTTACCTTGCAGCTTTTGAATACCTACCTTTAGTTTGCCAAAGAGGTTCTGAGGT